AGAGAAACAAATATCATATGATGCCGCTTACATGTGGAATCTGAAAATAAATGATACTAATTCTATTTATAAGCCAAAAACAGGCTCGTGGATATAGAAAAACATTACCAAAGGGGAAAGAATAGTGAGGGATAAATTAGAGTTTGGGGATAAACAGACACACATTACTATGTATAAAATAGATAAACAGCAAGGACCCGCTGGACAGCACAGGGAAATATGTTCAATTTTTTGTAATAACATATAATGGAAAAGCATCTGAAAATAGAATATATATGTGTGTCTATGTAGAACTGAACCACTTTGCCGTACACCTGAAACTAACATTGTAACTCAACTACATTTCAACAAAAATTAAAAAATAAAAGGCCTGAGTATATCCTGTGAGCCTCACAGTGGCGATAACCACGCGTTATTTCACTTCCGCGATGCACAGGTTTCCTAGGCTGAGCGTTGGGTTTTGTTTTGGATCTTTCTTCCGCCGGGTGGCTGAGTTAGAACAGTGCACACTGTTCCTTGGAATTTTGAAGTTATCTCTGCAGAATCTCCGGTGCACAGGATCCCAGGGCTCCCAGGCTGTCGCTAGTGGGCTGGACCTGCAATGGCCTGGCCACGTGACCAGGGGACCAGGGGGACTGAATGGCCCCACACAGCACACGTGGGCGGGAGAAGTGAAAGCAGATGGTCGTGGTGCTCACACTGAGATGTAGCACATCGTGGCAGGGTGCTCTCATTTTTCACACTCTGGAGGGACTCTGTGGGTAACTGTGCTTTGTGACCTACCACAACTTTGTTGATGGTGCTCTTCATGGAACAGAAATCATTCATTTTGTGGGAATAAAATTGACCAGTTAGGCTTGTGTTTTGAAGTTGTGTTTAATAATTCCTTTTCCACCTCTTAGTTCCAAAGATGTACTGCTGTATCATTTTCCTATTAACTTTATAGTCTTGCCTTTCAATGAGAAAAGCCGGTAACACACCAAGGATTCTGAGCTGTTTCGCTGGAAGAAGGGAGTTGCCATTCGCTGAAATGGGGAAGATGAACAGAGGAGCATCACGGGGCCAGGATGCTTGGCAGACAGCACGGTGTACCTGCCATGTGGGCCAGGGTGCGAGCCTGGAGCTGAATGCAGAGGTCCAGGCTGGAGATGGAAATTTGGGTGTCACTGTCATGCGATGGCATCTACAGTGGCTGGAGGAAATCACCAAGGGAGTGAAAGTGAATAACCAAAGAGAAGAGCATGTTTAGAGGACACGGAGACTAGGAAGAACCAGCAGAGGGGACTGGGAGGGAGGAAAGCCAGGAGTGGTGTTCTGTAAGTCAAGGGGAGAAAGTGTTTCAAGGAGTGACTGACAGCTGGGCCAGATGCCGCTTCATATCACACAGAGAGGAGCTGAGAATCCACCTCTGGACAGAGCGATAGGTCTGCGGTGAGCTCTGATGAGGGTGGTTTTGGGGTAGTGAGGATAGAAACGTAATGGGTGTGGGTTAATGGGAGAACAGGATGGGCAGAATTGGAGATAAGCAAACACAGATAACTAATTAGATAGTTCTGTAAAAAGAAAGGCATGGCACAGGGGACTATATTCCATATCTTGTAGTAGGTAACATTTAAGGAAAAAAATATGGGAAGGAATATATGTATGTATATGTATGACTGAAACATTATGCTGTACATCAGACCTTGACACATTGTAACTGACTGTATGTCAAATTGAAAAAAAAAGAAAGAAAAGCATGGCAGAAACATGGTCAAGAAAGTGTATTTGAAGGATGGGAGTAATGACAGCATGTTTTTATATATTGATGGAGTAAGTCTGTAGAGTGCAGAGGGACACGCAGGAAAGAGATGAGAGAACTGTGAAGAGCAACGCTCAGTGTGTAAGGGCAGGGATGGGCAGTCCCAGGACAGGCAGACACAGGCTGGGTGGACCTGGTGGTGGGAGACAGCGGGCCATACTGTGGTTTCTGTATGGTTTTTTGCAAATGAAACACAATTTTTGGTTAACATATGTTTAATAGAATGATAGTGATGGGTGAGATGTTCACTTTGTTTTGTTTTGTTTTGTTTTGTTTGGAGGTGGGTAGGTAATTAGGTTCATTTATTTGTTTACTGGTTTGTAAATGGCGGTACTAGGGATCGAACCTGGGACCTCGTGCGTGCTCAGCACGCGTTGTACCACTGAGCTATACCCTTCCCCCCTCATTTTTTTTTTAAATGAAACATTTTTAAATTGAAATATAATTGGTTTACAGTGTTGTGTTAGCTTCTGTGATTCAAAGTGATTCAGTTATGCATTCATATATATATATTCTTTTTCATATTCCTTTCCATCACAGGTTACTACAAGCCATTGAATATAGTTCCTTGTCCTACACAGTAGGACCTTGGAGATACTCATTTTGGATTGAAAAGATTATCTTTCAAATCTGAAAAGTCCCCATGTTACCAACGCTGCTGTGACCCTGGCGAGAAATGCTCAAATGCTCCGAGACAGACTGGTGACTTTTCTCCCAAATAGCTCTTTCTGACGCTGCTCTCTGGATGTTTTAAAGTGTTTCCTTAAAAAGCTTAATAAGAATAACTTAATAATAACTCTCTTAAAATAACCTCGCAATAATTAGTTCCCTTCATCTAAACATCAGCTATTTTTTCAGTTTGGATCTTTGAGTCATAACGTTTTTCTTGCTGTTTTTTTTTTTCCTAGAGGAGCCTCCATTCCTGTTTCCTGGGTGTTATTGTATGTAGTCTAGTCTATTTCAACAAATTGGTAAAATGTGGCCTTTGATTGCTCTGTTCACTGAATTTATAGCTACTGTCTAGTTCAAACTATTCGTGGTGGGAACATGGGATAATGGTCATTAACTGAATTGATGACATTGGTGCCCAGACTGAAAATGAGGTGGAATCATCCTAAAATGTTTGTGATATGTTGGAAAAAGTCTTTGGGTTGGTCGGTCGGTCGGTTGTTGGTTGATAAAAGGCTTGGTAGAGCTCTATGTGTTTTAGGTGGGATCACTGAAAGCCAGGATAGAAAAACTCTTAAAAATCATCTGACCCAATCATGCAGTCGATGCTTAAACTCCCCTGTGACACCCCTGCTAAGTGTGTGTCCACCGTTCCCTTAGCTCCTATGAGTGCCAGGAAGTGACAACTTCCTTCCTCTACATCATCGAAATTAATGAGTAAGAACACATTAGCAGGTTTCTATTTAAAATTGTTATGAGTTGTATGTAACTTTTCAGGACAGTTAAGACATTTTTCACTTGTTACTTGGAAAAAAAAAAGCAGAATTATGCTTTTACATAGACTCAAAGCTGGGAAATACGGGCGGCATAAATACCTTGTGCAGCAAAGGTGCAAAGAATCCCAAGCAAATTCTGGCCGGAAGCACGAGTCACTTCATAGGTGAGGGCACGAAATGCTGTGGGGAGTCTGAGCTGGTGGGTGCCAGCCCAAAACTGCCGAGGAAGGCAGCTTAATTTTCTTCCCTGACCTTGACAGTGCGGCAGACACTTTTCTTGCCTTTGACTTAGCTCAAGGTAACCGGTTTGCTGCAGAATTTAAAATTCCACCCTCCTGGCTCATAACTTTGATCAGAAGACTGCATTCCTAATCATTCATTTTTAATAAGACAATTGGACACAATTTTTCTCTTTAGAGCTCATAATGCAGATGGGAGTAAGAGAAATCATTTCAGGTTAGCAAACTTGATGTTTCATTTTTGTTTTAATCTACATGGTTGGAATTAATTTCCACCGACACAGACTTTTCCATTTGTGACGTAAACCTCAGCATAGCAAGTTTATTAAAATATGATTTCCCTGGAGAGAGAGGAATGACGAGGTGAAGCACAGGGGATTTTAAGGGCAGAGAGGCTATGTGTAAGATGCTGTTATGGTGGGTACACATCAGCACACATTTGTCAAGAAGCATAGTGTGTAGAACACCACGAGTGAACTGTAAGATCAACGGTGAACTTTGGGTGATGACGATGTGTCAGTTCAGTGTCTGTTCATTGACGGTAACACATGGCCCATTCTGGTGAGGGATGCTGAAAGGGGGCGAGGCTGTGCTTGGAGGGGGCATGGGTACACGGGAGCTCTATTTTCTGCTCCGTTTTGCTGTGAACCTAAAACTACTCTTAAAAAAGAAAGTCTATTAAAAAATGATTTCACAAAGCTTTCAGGTATGCCCACAAGTCTCTGAACGAGAACGAGGACTCATTTGCAAAATGTTCTTTTTTTAATTAGAAAACTTAGAGCCATTTTTGATCAATTTTTACACAGAGTGATTACAAAGCTACAGTGAAGGCATTTGATCAGGGATTTCTTTGGTAAATTATCTTGTAGGGTGAAAACTCACTCTACGTTAGTTGTGTGGTACATCCAGAGATGTCTGGAAAGAGCCCCACACACTAGACGTATCCGATTTTAAGACATTTTTTAAGAGCAGAACCTGAAAACTGGGGGAAAGATTCTCTCAAGCAATTGTAAAGTAATCTCTGAAATACCTGGATATTTTCTCTGCGTTTTCTGATTGTTTTATAACCCGGTGGCAACTGCAAACTGGTGAAAATAGGTAGTATTTTCCAAGAAATAGCTAGTCGATTTTATCGTACAGCAGACTGGAAAGTGAATCTCTGGAATCGTGGAAGAAAGGGGAGGCGTGAATAACCCGTTCCATTCTTGGGGGCCTGGAAGAGTCCCTGGGATGCACTTCGGTGAGGGGTCTCATCCTGTGTCTGTGGGTGACTGTGGACAGTGGTCACAAGCAGTAAGACCTCCACTGGGAGTCCAGTCCTAAGAGGTGTGGGGTCAGGGCACGTACAGTGCCTTGCAGAGTGTGTGTTATGCCCGTATTCTTTTCAGGAACAAGTACAGGGTTTCTCTGTAACATTCTAAATGCAAGATGGTCATCCTGCTCACAAGGAAGTTCCTTGAAGAACGTGTATCTGTGAGAGATCATTAAAAATAAATAAGCTACAAGGAGGTGGGGGTGGGTAGAGCTCAGTGGTAGAGCGTGTGCTTAGACTGCACAAGGTCCTGGGTTCGATCCCCAGTACCTCCATTAAATAAATAAATAAACCTAATTACCTCTCCTGCCAAAAGAAAAAAAAAAACAAGCTACAAGGATATATTATACAGCAGAGGGAATACAGCCATATTTTATAATACCTTAAATGAAGTATAATCCATAAAAAATTTGAATCACTGTGTTGTACACCTGAAACTAATATAACATTGTAAATCAACTATACCTCATTCAGAAACAACAACAACAAAAAACAAAAACAAAAAAAGTCCCTAAGTAGAATAAAGGAAATAATGCTAAATGGAAACCAGCAAGCACGTGATTCTGTTAAGGCCAAATGGAATCCAAATCTGAGTCAAGATGTTGGCAGGCAAGAGAACAGGAGGCACAGGAGGAGGTCGGACTCCTGTCCAACTGAGGCTCTGCTGGGGGAAGGGGCTGGGGAAGGGGACAGCAGGGCAGCGGTGGGGAGGGGGTGGGAGTGTGACCCCTGCATGAGGAGCAGCCGCACTGAGCAAAGATGAAGCAGCTGCCTGCACTCAATATAAATGTACTTGATCGGACTCAGGAGAAAACAGCTGCATTGGGGATGCTAAACTTCCCGAGGTTCCCAATGACTGGGGTTACAAATTGACAGGAGGGAGGAACCCAGTCAGTGCTGACCCAGAAACACTCCCAGTAGGGATTTATGACCACCTGTGACCTTCTCTGCCTTTCGCTGTCTGCAGTCACCATCACTGTGACCTTGTCCCTCTCCACTTCCAGGGATGTTGGTTTCTATGTTGTGCAAACCTTCCTGGAGTTAGCCCTCACTGCCATGTGCACTGGACCCTTTGTGGATGGACCAGAGTAGGACAGGGGACAGAAGTCAGATGGTCCCAGCGTGCAGGTTGTGACAAAGAACTGCATGGTTATGTGAAGCCTTTTGCACTACAGAAATCTGCTTGGAGCATGACATTGACAGAATTATGATTCTAGTTTTCCCAATTATTTACCTTTAATAGGTGTTTCCCTGATTACGTTATATATCAACTTCTAGCGTAATACCATGTTTGTTATAAAGAAGAAAGTTTTATCCAAACTGCATATATCACCATGTAAACTCCTTTAGAAATGGAAATAACTCTAAGTTTATCAGCCTTCATTGCTGTTAAGTGAAAATGCTTGAGAGTGTCGCAGCTGAGTACATATGAAAGAAAAACAGTGAATGCTTTCGGTAGGTAACCAATAACAAGCCGCAGGCCAGCCAAGTTCTTTGGTTTGGATTATTTTTAATCCCCATTACTTGTCGAAAGAAAAGGGCAAGAAATTCCCTCAGTAAAATTGAGAAATCTTATCATGAAGCAAAAATTCCCTTTGTAGCTAAGGTACAGGTGGAAATCCACTTTTAAAAAAATTGCTGTGGCCAGCTGTTAACACAGTGGGACTGTCTACAAATACAGTTGTTTAAACACAACAGATTACCATTATGTAGCAGGCTCATTAATCACTTTTCAGCTCGCTATCAGGAGTGAAAATTACTGGTGTTATTAAATTTCCACCCCATTACCTTGACTTTTACTTAGAACCATCCATCAATGATTTCCTCCTTCATTAGAAGTCACAAGTTAACCAAGCCAAAAAAAAAAAAAAATCAAAGAAACACCATTTGATGATATCTTGGAAATGTAAATACTTAGTGCGATTTCATTAATTCACAAGGTCTGTTAAGCATTCTAGTAATCTACTCAAGACAATTCTCAAGCCTTTGCTTCCACAACCATTAGCTGTAGACATTTCAACCAGTGATTGAGAAAAAAACAAAACTCTTGAAGTCATAGATTTCCAGTAATTAGTCTCAACTGGTCCTATGACAGGTCTGTAACTCCCTCAGTTTTTTTTTTATGGTCCCCCAATACACCTCTGTTTAAGGAACTGTAATCTGTTGCCTTAATGAAAGGCTGAAAGTTCCATTGTATTGCCTCTCCCAGCAATGCTCTGGTCCAGCGAAGCCCCTGCCCAGCTGTCCACGGGAGATGTTTAGGGACACCACACTCAGGATCGGTCCTGAGATAGATGCCTTCTAAGATCAGTGAAGATCCTAAGTAACATTAACCAGTTAATCAACAAATATATCTCAGCTGCTGTTCACGGGAACTGAGATGGCCACTAAAGAGAGGATAGTGTCAGGAGAACTTGGCACTTGCACGTCTGCAATCACATACGCACGGGAAAGGCAAACTCCTGAAACAGAGCAGCAGATTGCTGGTGCCAAGTGAGTGTGGTGGATGGGAACCGCCGTAGCCCCTGGATGACTCACTCCAGGCTACGGGGATGAGAGAATTAGCCCATCCTCTCAGAGAGGAAGGGAGATAATGGAGTGGAAAGCAGGGGAAACAAAGGGACATAATGTGTGTTTTTTGGTGTTCTGCACTCAGGCCATCTGTGATGATTTAGGGAATTTGTGAATACATGCTGAGGTTAAAAAAAACAAAGTTAAGGTGCAAATGGAGTAGCTGAATAAAACCATGACGTCCAGAACGGAACATCTGTCACTTTTTTCTCACCAGCATCCCTTTCCCTTCTATCAATGACTGAAGGTAGTAGCACTCACTGTTCATTTGTGCAATTACTTCTTGCGCATTTCGTGTAGTCTTGTGGGGTTGTCAATCAAAGAGCTTGCTCCCTTCGCCCAAGCCAGACTCTAGAAGAAATTTGAATTTTGATCGTAGGGACAAGGACTAAAAGCAATTGGAATTGAGTAATCCAATGGCAGTGTTCCAGATAAGACTCTCCTGGGAGCCCCTGAATGCTGTCCTGATTCTTGCCTTTCCAGAGGTGTGAGTGGTGAACTCTGCCTTGGTACTATAAGCTATTCCACATTTTAAAAATTTGCTATGATTTTTTAAAAAAAATTTAGCTAGAGCTGATTTTTGTGGCTGGTAACCAAAGGGAATTAGGGCATGCACTTTACTTCTTCTGTGACAATTTCCAAGCATAGTATTAGGGATGGAGAGGTTCAACCTGCACGTGCCCATGGAACCCTGCAGAAAGCAGAGTGACACCACCACACCTCTCAGAGTACTGGCTTCCGTGCAGCTGATGGGGAATGTGAAGGTCAAAAGTAGGGCCAGGGTGAGAGAACCAAGCAGAGGGCAGTCTGTTCACAAACCCCTCGTAACACTGGTAACAATGAACACTAACACAGATTGCGACAGACATTGCTGTGAGTGAGTCTGGGTAGTCCGTACCTCATGACAAACACTGCGATTTCCAATTTCACTCACCAAGGAAAAATCCTATTCACCCCTAAAGGTTGGGTCAGGCTTCTGAGCTGGAAACGAGGAGTGGGTATCACTGTTACTGTTACTTTCTGGCTTAGGGAACCGGGAGGACAAAACCTATCCAACCCCTGCATTGGAGTTCTCTCCCTGCTTTCCCCTTTTCATCAACTGACCATTCAAATTGTTCTTCAACGACAAATCCAGAAGAGCCTGAACTACAGGCTGTGGATCCTGCCCTTGATATCACAAGCCCGAGAGGACCTGAGAGTAAAGGTCCATCAAACGACCTGAGATTTTACAAGAAAATTTATAATCCACTCTTTTTAACAAGAACAACAAAATTCCCAACATTGTTTATAACATCATCCCAGGAAGTAGGTGTTACCAATGACATCGAATGCAGTACCGAGACAAGGAATCTTAAGAAAAGTCCATTGGATTTCACTAGAGAAAAGCTTTAGCAGGCTGATGGCAACAGAGTACAGTTATATGGGGGAAATGGGAAGATAGAAGAGGGAGGTTTGGCAAAGAAAAGAAGAGGAGAAATGGAAAAATAGTTGGAAGAATCAGGTAAAAACTCTTTCGTTTTTTTAATTGTTGTTCAAAGCTTTTAAAAAACTGTTTATTTTTAATTCTTATTTTTTATTGAAGTGTAGTTGATTTGCAATGTTAATTTCAGGCATACAGCAAAGTGATTCAGTTATAAATATATATATATTTTTTTCAGATTCTTTTCCATGACAGCTCATTACAACGATCTTTTTGTTTTCAAGCTAGGGAAGAGCTAAATATGTTTGGAGGCAGAAGAGAAAGTGTTGCTGAAGAGAAAAAGGCCAGACAAGGCTGGCTTCTGGGCATGCGACCTGTGCTTAGAAGGGCCCTGCACTTGGTTTAACGCTCTGCTGTCACTGTCCTGAAATTCTTCATATTTTTTGATCCAGGACTCGGCATTTTCATTTTGTACTTGGCCCAGCCAGTTATGAAAGTGCTTCAAAAGGTATAAAGCATTATGTGTAGGCTGACTAATGCCCCTACAAAGATACCCATGCCCTTGTCCCCAGAACCTGTAAGTATGTTACCCTATATGGCAAAAAGGACTTTGCAGATGTGATTAAATTAAGGGCTTTGAGTTGGGGAGATTATTCTCGATTACCCGGCAGGCCCAATGTAATCACAAGGGTCTTTACAAGAGGGAGGCAGTGGAGTTAGGGTTGGTAAGAGGAGGCATGTGACAATAGAAGACAGGGAGTGAAATGGGACAATGTGATGCCAGGTCATGAGCTAAAGAATGCAGGTGGCCTCTAGAAGCTGGAAAAGGCAAGGAAACATACTGTCCCCTAAAGACAGCCTCTAGAAAGAATGCAGCCCTGCTCGTCCAATTTGGACTTCTGACTCCCAGAACTGTAAGATAATACATTCGTCTTGAGCCTGTGGTAATCTGTTACAGAGGCGATGGGAAGCTAATACCCACTACATAAATGTAAGGTGATGTATATACGCGTTCACTAGAAATCAAGGATATTAATAAAACTAACAGAACCTATCATTTGGTGAACACTTGTTGTGTGCCAGGCATCATATGAAGAGGCCCTTTATGGATATAATATTATGTAAACCTAGAACAATGCTTGAGGTGGGTATTACTGTATTTACTTTACAGACGGGCAAACTGAGGCTCAGAGAGGTGAAGTAACTTGTGCAAAGCCACATAACATACTACAATGTTTTAGAGGTGGGAGTTGAACCCAGTCCATGATCACTCGCCATTTTTCTGTGGGTTCATCTCCATCCCTTATTATATTATACACGCGGGTTTACTCCGATTCTTTAACGTGCACGGTGTTTGTGCGTGTCCACAGGAGTGGAGGCAGGACGGGGCGAGCATGACACCCACGACTGGGGCATGGAAGACGAAAAGGGCGCCGGAGCCACGTCCACAGGGGCAGGGGCTTCCGCAGGCACCCACAGCGGATGTGAGTGAGGCTCCAAAAGAGTGAGCGACACAAAAAAAGCGCCTGAGCTGGGAAGCCGAAGGCCTTCGCCGTTGGTTGCTCGCCCGCGTGGGTACCGGACGCATCCCGGAGGCTGCGGCCGCGCGGCGTGCAGGGACACGACACAGGAGGCCCCGCCCCGTTTCCAGGAGCAACTGCGGGTGGGAAGAGGGGAAGAGGAGGAGCCCCCACCACTCCCCTTGTTTTGGAGGCCAGCGTGGTCCCGCGTCATTGGCCGCCGCGGAGCCCGAGGCCCTGGGAGGAGGAGCAGCACCCCCGGGTGTT